CAAATAACAATGATTAAAAATACACATATTACAAATACAACAAATACTTCATAAATCGAATAATTGAATGTACAAATACTTCATAAATCGAATAATTGAATGCACAAATACTACAGATAATTCATAAATCGAATAATTGAGAATAAAAATACTACAAACAACTCATAAATGAATAATTGAAAATACAAATACTACTGATAATCGATAAATCGAACAATTAAAAATACAAATACTAAAAAATAATTCATAAATCGAATAACTGAGAGTAAAAATACTACAAATAATTAAAAAATCGAATAATTAAATGTACAAATACTACAGATAATAGATAAATCGAATAATTGAAAATACAAATACTAAAAAATAATTCATAAATCGAATAATTGAGAATAAAAATACTACAAATAACTGATTAATCGAATATTTGAAAACATAATAAATAAAACAAATAATTCACTAACCCTCTGAACAATAGTCACGATAATGAAGAAGCAGAGAGCAAGGCCGGTAACTCTGGGCTTAATTCATCTTTGTTCAATTGAACGATTGTGAAATACTTTATAAAAATAACTGATAACTAGTTTAAAGTTCAAAAATTAGCCCATAGCATACGGATTGAACAATACAATATACGAATCTGTGTTTTGCATTTGCTTTCAGTTGTCATGTGTTTACTTATATATAAAGTAGATGTCTATAGAGGTAGTCACTAAACAATAACTAAGCTTCCGTTGTAAGCATGCATTCCTTCTCGTTATTTGATGATTCTGCAGGTCTGGTTGTCTTTTGTTCGTCTGATTTATTTTTACAGCAAGAATTGAGAAATACGGAACCGGACATAGCAGCGGCTGACAGGAATTTGTCGTACAGAAATGCCCCTGAAGCTGCGCCAAGAAGAGGTCCGAGCCAGTAAACCTATTAATAGAAATCAAAGCACTGTAATTCATTAATTTTCATCTTTTCAATCTGCTATACCCTTTACAGTAACAGCAGTCTGTTGTTTTAAGACAAGTCTACAAAAAGAAGATGTCAGCAAAATACAGTATAAAAAATTAGACTCGTTCTTTATATGAAAAAAGAATTGGCGCGGAGCTATTTGTGTTTACATTTTACGAAAATATCCTCCAGATTTCTATTATTAGTTATAAAGATTTTTGACAGGCTATATGACCCTAAACAAATGGTTTTTAAGCCGCTAGGCGAGGGTTATATTGAAAACAACCGTTTATATACGTTCATAAACCTGTCAGAAATATTTATAATACCGCAATCTTCCTTTTTTGAGAAATAAGTGAGATATCTTAGAAAATTGACAGCAGCCGTATATCATTAGTTATAAAGATTGTTGACAGATTTAATGGCTGTTTGTAAATATAACCCGAGCCGCTATTAAAAAAGTATGGATTTTAATAGGATGAAAACATAGTTAGTCGGAGTGATTGCATATATAATACAAGTTCATATGCTGAAACAACGTGCTAAATAAACTTTGTGCAGTTTTGTACTGCATACAAATATGTTAAGTAAAAAAATACACGTACACATTAACATGTTCGATGTATTAATATACTTACAACATCTTTCTCATCAATATTAAGGTTTTATATAAAAGATCTTAAATTTCTTAACATTCACATGATAGTAAAATAAGAATAAATCAACTTTATTTCTTAATTTATATTTAGACTGATACCGGCTAACAATGCACAATATGTTAAGCTTATTAATGAACGAACAAAAATGCATTATTGATAATTCTTCATTTGAACAACATATATCTATCATGTAAGATCATAAGATTTTTAAGTACAGATACTTAAACTGTAGGTAATAAATCGCTGAACAGAACAAATCTGAAAACGGAATGGTTATAGCATTTCATATTTGATACATAGTGACGCAAACAAAACAATGTTGCTACTAATTGTCATGTCACAGTACACGTCTTCTAAGTCTTGTTTTGCAATTTTGTTTGTATTGGAATTACTTTTCTTACCAGGTACGAATTGGTGTAAACATATTTTTTATATTCAATACCTGACCCCTCTCTAATGGACAATGCTGACGAGATAAGTTTAATTATGTAACTTTAAATGAACATTCAGAAAAAGGTCTATTAGTAACCTAAATAGCAAAATGACCTTTGAGCAGGAATTATTTATCCGTCATGAGCGCATTTTTACGCGAAGCTTCTCAATTGCTGCATTGCACAGCAACATCTGTACTTGTACTAGATATATTCAAGTAGGGATGTCAAAGTTAGCAAAAATGTTAACCGTTTAAGCGGCAACCATATATCCTTGTGAAACGTTTAATCGACCGTACAAAAAGTACTCTTAGATTTTAAACATCAACTTTGTTCCTTGTTTTCAAGCTATAACATTTAGTATGTTGGCGACGCCGGTGAGCGGCGTCGTCTCTTATGGAATGCTTTTTATTTTGGCCTTTGGAAAGAGCTGTTATTATAAGCAGTTAATGTCATGTTGTGTTAATTAGTTTTATTTTGTATTTTGTTGTTCTCATATTTTCAAAGAAATAAAATAACTACAAATATTTAAAGTAAAGTGCGATCATTAAAAATATTAGAATGTGCAACGTCTTTCATCACGCACTCTAGCACCAGCTGACACGGTGTTCAACCGGCAACTCTCAAAATAAACGTGGTCACGGAGGACAGGAAAAAACATAACATCACTGAGATGTGTCATCCAAGTTGGTAATGTTATGTTTAAAGTGACATTATGCTCATTTTTTTCATTTTCAAGTTGAGCTGAATTGTCAGTATATTTCAAAAGATTGACAGTTATAATGGTGATTGACCAACAATAGATATTGGAAAATGTTAAAGATAAAATATATATCTGCCTAAAATAGAAAGAGACAAAGAGACTGTCCCATTCTTTTTATGAATTGAACTTTACAGGTAAATTCTGATCGATATTTACAGAAATTCCGTTAGGTCACGTGAGTTTTTTTATCTTTCATGCTAAATAAATTGTGAAATTGAAATGAATTATGACAAAACATTAACTTATTTTGACTTTCCCAAGTTCACTCACTACATACCATTTGATGGGCATTATGTCACTTGAAATACTGCTTTATTTTGTAAAAAACATTTCATTCCTTTTTTCATTAATCAGGACATATAAAATATTTACAAGTTAATCGTTTATCCATAAAATCAGAAAATACATATTACCCATTGCGTTTCTAAATTTCCGGCCAGGATTGCAGGTCCAAAGTTTCTTGCTGGATTCATACAACCACCGGAAGTTCTTGCCTAAAATTATATGTACATACATATATTTTTTTCTATTTTGTATCTTTATATTAAACAAAACAATTTGAAAAGCGTCAACCAGAGTATGATACAAATCTGAGTTCAACTATTGCCAAAGACAGTACTTAAAACGCAAGCCTTATATAAGTTATTTGTACAAACAATGGGAATAGAAATCAAAAATGCAAGGCGATGTTCACAGAACCCACACTAGAGATATGTCATATGAATTATATATATAATGACAAAGTTAAATAAAGTTTTAATTTACACTTGCATTCAGCAGCGAAAAGCATCAGCTTGATACACAGAAGCTATCTGTGCATCATTTGTTGATTGCTCAATAAAAGTTTGACTTATTTCATTTTAACGTGTAAAGTTTTATATAACACGAATATATTAATTTCTCAAGCCCAGGCACATGTACAAACCGGAATTACATTTGTTAACATTACTTAAGGACGTTTTCAAGAGTTTTTATATAGACATAAAGGCAAAATTAAAACTGTTAAATAAAAATTTCTTTAAACTTGGCATGTTGTTAGAATATGATAACAGAAGCATTTTAAGCGAAAAAAATTAAGTTCACCGTTCTCGTTTTTGAGTTATCTGCCCTTGAATCAGAATTTTCTACTTATTTGATGTCATTTCAAGGGCAGATAACTTAAACATATTTTAAATAATTCTTGTTTTTACTTCTGGATTATGTTTTCCTTTTTATTGTTGAGTACATTACACAATAACATTCAATTCCTTATATCGTTGCAGTTATTTTTTTTTTTCAAATCAAATAAAGGAACTTTAAAGTCTTAAAAATAAATAGTTAAAATACACCAAAACAACACATATTTTTTAAAATCTTTACTAGTTTTGACTGTTGTCTTCATCAGAATAACGTACAAAGTATTTGACGTCACGTCCGTTAAAAGTAAATAGGGCATTTAAAGAAAAAACAAAAAGTGGGGAAAAACTATCCACTCTAAATTTATTCTTGAAATTTTGCATATCGACTAAAAGGAAGGTAAGCTTCATGAAAATAAGAAAAAAAATGTATTGCTTCCCTTCATTGTAAATTATCTGCCCTTGAATTTACCGAAAAAGTCCAATTCAAGGGCAGATAACTAGAAAATGAGAACGGTGACCCCATTTCTATTTCGCTTAAAATGTTTCTGTTATCACATTCTAAATCATATTATACAACATGCCAAGTTTAAATAAATTCTATTGAACAGTTTTTATATGTCTATATGAAAACTCCGCAAAACGTCATTAAAGTGTCACTTCATGGTGTTTTTATTCAAAATAACGTAAACTTTTGCTGTAAATTAGATATAAGTGGTTAAATTTTAGTAAAATATATAAGTGAAATTAACCGTAACATTTGATAAATAAGATAGGATAGAAAACTAATACATTTAGTAAAAATTGCAATCGTAGCATACGATTCTATAACCATAGTAACACGTTTGTGGGGTTGCCCTTAAATCATGGATCATAAGTTTGAGCATTTGTGTTCAAATATGAATGCAATTAGGCAAATATCTCGCTTTTTACCACGTTTTGCACGAACTATGTACATGTATCGCATAGATAGTTGTGTAAGCTCTCAATTGATTCAAGACATGTGTAAATCAGTTCAGTCTAGCTCTGACAATAGCTCGATTAACGATATCTATTCGTGTATGCTAAAGCTAAAATAGTTGGGAAAAGGTCTCCTTTAACTGACAAAATACGGATGAATACCCTATCTCCTTACAAAATAGCAAAAACTTGCTCGGATAAGAATATCAAAACAATTATTGAAACAGTTCACTAAATACAACAATCGATCTTTCGTAAATATCTCATCATTAGCAAAGAGGCATGGCTTCACTTTTATGAGCCCAAGCGAAAGATATATATAACAAAATATTGCCAAAGACCTTGCATAGCAGAACGCACAATGAGCGTCAAAAAGGTCATGTATGTAATTCCCTTTACCAATCAAGGTCCTGCAATTCATATTGTATCAAAAGGGTAAATCTGTAAATGCCAAGTTTAAGAAAGGCTAGGTCCTTCATAATTTCAAAAACCGTCGACCAGCAACTGGTCTCTGTGGTGTCAATTTGTTACATGCCAATGCTTCGTCACACAAAGCGGCCATGTACGAGAATATCTGAAACAGGAAAAGGTTGCCGAGCTTCGCCAGATCTTGCCCTTGTGACTTATACCTATTTCCGAGGCTTAAAAAACACCTTGCTGGAAGAAAGTATTAAACGTGAAAAAATCGCGGTTCGACAATTTTCCAGTGCCTGAACAATGTCCCTAGAAAAGATTATGAAAACACATTTTAAAATTGGATTAAAAGACTAAAACTTTGTATATCATATGGTTGGATTGAGATAATTATTTTGGCACTGTTTGTTAAGAACTTCTGAAAATGACCTGGTTTCGTTTATATTTGAACACCTCTTGTACTTGAGTGACCATTACATTTCGTCATATGCATTAAAGGTATGGCCAAAAAGTGGATAGCATAAATCAGGTCGGAATCAGCTTAAATTAACTTCCGTTTTTTCACAATTGAGCTTAACTAAATATGTTTCAGCTGATAAACAACGGGGAAATTTTGATATTATGTTCGTTTTTTCACTACAAAGATTGTCTACTTGGTTTAATTGCAGACTGAATAAAGTTAACTATGATACTTAGAATTTCAGAAGAGTGTCTTTAATTGCATGCATATTATAGAACAATTTGCTATATTTGAAAATACGACAATTGTCATGTTTTGTCAATGGAAAGCATGTAGCTTTCTTCCATGCCAACACGTTACATTCCGTGATATGTGTTACCTTTGCCATGATTTCAGTTTCCATTTGCCGCTTTGAAATAATATTCATGCTTTTATAATAAGGTTAACTTTAGGTCAGCCAACATTTCTTATATCAATAGTCCGTATTAAGTTAAAGTTACGATTGCACAGTTTCAAATAAAAATTTCGTGAATATATACCTTTATTTTAAACTAACACTTACAATATCTTACTTTGTTTATAGAAAAGTTGGGGCAATGACATTAAAGTTTCATTTTACATAAATTAAAATCGCAAATGCTTATGGTAGAACAGGAAAAGATCTCTTTTGTGTCTTGCTTTTATGTTTTAGACCATAACTTTCTAATTTTTTCGAATGGACTTGTCTAGATTCCAATTCTGGAACTTTTCATTATCAATTTTGAGGATATCTAGATGAAAATTTGAAATAAATGGGCTTGCGACCAGCATGGGTCCAGACCAGCCTGCGCATCCGCGCAGTCTGATCAGGATCCATGTTGTTCGCTATCAGTTTCTCTACTTGTAATAGTGTTTGTAAGCGAACAGTATGGATACTAATCAGAATACGCGGATTCGCAGGCTGATCTGGATCCATGCTGGTCGCAAACGCACTATGTTGGTTTTGTCGTGACACGGCTTATGTATAATATAGAGCCTGGCCAGACTGCCCGGATGTTGGTCTGTTTATTAAATGGTGTTAAGACTAATCATATTAGTTTCAACATAGTAATGTCGCAAGTGTTCATAAAAATGACTTGTTAACATAATTCTTTGCCCGAATGCACTGCCATTGAATATCTAAAATATTAACTTATTCAAAGCACAATAATGTTTTACATACAAACTGTATAACACTTGCGAGAAGAAGGCTAACTGTTATACATTTTATATAAACTGAACATTAAAATTAAAGTACAATTAGTTGAATACTTATACATGTTAAATGTATTTCAAAGTGTTAGGTTCACTTTAAAAGGTTTAATATAATAGAACCGTTGACATACAGTGTCAATAACAGTGTTTGTATACATTTAACCAACTTAAATCTAAATAATTTTGAATCATAATCGAGTGTCGGATAACAATATAGAAACCCCAATATAGAGACTCCAATATAGAGAGCGCCTGGCTAGAAGATACAATTTCAACAGTCGTCTTTTTACATGACGAGATATGAGAAAATGATTTATGCAAGCATAGTACACTAGACATTTTTGTACCCACTAAATTTAACTCTAAGTCCAGCAAATCTCTGATACGATTCTTGAGCCAACCTAAGTCACTTCCTTGGGTGCTAATCAAAAATTAAACTTAAATGCGGAAACAATAGAGAGCTAAAATAAAACCGCCTCTCTTCCTTCGACCCCCCCGCACCGCCTTCCCGATTGATTGTAGGGTGCAATGGTGCGGGATGGGGTGTGGAATACGATTATTAACTTGTGCAAAAACAAATATACAGATGCAAATGATGTAGTTGCCACAGGCTTGATAACGTTATCTCTATAACGTAACAAAAATAAAATTTGAATCAATACTCATGTAAATTAGGAAACCTTTTAAATGTTGTCACTTTCAGTTGCACATCCTTCATTTTTGGTTTGTAGTATCGTACATATAGATTTTTTTGTGTCTGCAAATTTTGCTTAGGTTGCAAAGTTTTATTTGAAAGCGTAGACATGTGAGGGCTTCGACCGAAAACAAATTATAACTATCTTAATTTCATCTGAATAATGATGACATTTATACATTGTTGAAAGCTTTCACAACGTATAAGAACATGGTCCTAATCAGTTCGGTCCAGTTTAAAGCGTATCTTACAAATCTGATCAAAACAAATTTATCAGCAATTTAAAACATATATGAGCCGCGTAACGACAAAACCAACATAGTGCGTCTGCGACCAGCATGGATCCAGATCAGCCTGCGCATCAACGCAGTCTGATCAGGATCTAAACTGTTAGTTTACAAACCCTATAGCAAGTAGACAAACTGATAGCGAACAGCATGGATCCTGATCACAATGCGCGGATGCGCAGGCTGGATTGGATCCATGATGGTCGGAAATCCATTATGTTGGTTTTGTCGTGACGCGGCTTAATTATGACATAACGTATCACCTGAGAGCTAGCAGATGACGTAGACATAAGCAGCCGCATTCATGATGTATGAGTAGACATTTTGACGTTGGCTTATCAATGTAAGATTTTATATTTTATGTTCCCTTTAGACATACATAGTTCAAAACAGACCACGACAATACCATGAATTGTTGTCATTGCTATACATAAATTTCATCCTTATTTATTTTTATGCAAATAATATAACCAGCTTTTCAATACTTACAAGGGTATGTTGCATGACAGTTAAATGTATACATATATTGACTATTTGCATGCTGGGGACATTTTCGTCAAAATCTGTAAGGTACTCATGCGTCTGGTCTGGCACCTAGCTATTTGCAAAGGCTTTCCGGTTGAGAACAACGGAAAAAAGATAGTGAATTGTGAGCTAGAAGTATCTGCGTATATCTAAATAATTGCTGAAGCTTCTTTATGTCTTACTGTTAATGACTTTAGTGGTAACATATAAGCCGCGTCATGACAAAACCAACATAATGCGTATGCGGCCAGCATGCATGGATCAAGACCAGCCTGTGCATCCGTGCAGTCTGATCAGGATCCATGCTGTTCGCTGTCAGTTTCTCTTCTTGTAATAGGGTTTGTAAGCGAACAGCATGGATCCTGATCAGAGTGCGCGTATGCGCAGGCTTTCTGGATCCATGCTGGTCGCAAATGCATGTGACGTTGGTTTTATCATGGCTCGGCTCATATCATATCAGTAAGTTTTTCTATAATAAAATAATTGTTTTATGATTTGAAATTACAATATGTTATCTATTCATCACTAAGCATGAATTACGTATGATATAAAAATGTCAAAATAAACCCTATTTTTGTTTTAAAAATGTTTATTTTAGTTTGATTGTGTAGAAAGTTGTAGCAAATTAGAAACAATATCGAATAAGCATTCTTGAACCAGGGTGCCAATGACAAAGACAAAAAACAAGACCAAGTTCCCCATAAGGGCCGAACCACGACACCTAGGGTGATAGACAGACGCTTGAACTAGTAGTATAAGTGCACCGCTCCTCCATGTTTTGATAGTCATCAATTCGCTTGATAAATAAAATAATTTCCTATTTTATTTTAGCGTAGGATGATCATAGGCTTATGATTGCAGTTTCCCTGCAATTTTATCAAATTTAAAGAAAATAAACAGGATATACATTTGCGGTTTAATGATTTCAAATGTTCACGCACATGATTATGTATGTTTTATGTTGAAGATAATATGTAATATGGTTTAATGTTAACTTTTTTTCCCACTAAGTGTTGATGTTTTCCTTTTTCATTTCACAAGTTACTCATCTTCGATTTGACATGTAGATACATTTATACCTAGATATTGATACATTTTTCAGTAATTTACACATATACACAATTTAACAAAAGATAAAGGTTTATTTGTTATTATTGTGCATGTTTTATTTTCATTTATATTTTAGCAATGGGAGCGCTGTCTGTTTTATTACAGTAAATTGGTACATTATGAAAGAATTATACATTGTTTGTAAGCGTGAGATAACATGATCCAATGTTCTAGCTAGTCATTATATAAATATCAAATTACTTAAAGTTTTTTTAAAGATTTATTTTATAGGAATATTCAAATGATGCATTTCTATTGTTTTTTTATCGTCAATATTTGAAATTCTTCAGGAAAATTCTCCCGTCCTATATAGTATAAAACATATAGTATATAAACGATTGGCAAAAGAAGATAAATAATCTTTAATCTGCTTGAACCGAAAGAAATAAGCCTTTGTCACCATTATAGATCCAGGCCAGCCTGATTTTTACATACAGTCTGACCAGGCTCTATACATTTGGCTGACTTTCTTCACATTTTCATCTTGATATTCGTCAAAACTGATAATAAACATTTGCAAAATAGAAGCTGTGCGAATAAATGTATAAATTTCATCCGGTTAAATGTTAAAAGTTCAGAACAAAAAGATTTTACTTACAGCAAATAAAATATTTCCAACCACAATCAGCCCGACGTAAAATGGCGTCGGTGACGTGTCGTCGGGACGCTTGTCATCTATAAGAGCCGCTATTGAAAACAAAAGAAAGAAATCGATGCTGAATTCAATGAAAAACGCCTGTACATTTGTAACTCCAGGCGCTGGGCTTATAAGTGCCGGCAGTCCTATCATTCCTTCAGGAGTAAGTTTACTTAAAATAGCCACAGCCGAGAGACCGGCGAGACATTGAGCACAGACGTAAAAAATAAAACGGATAAAGGTGATCTTTCCCAGCACTAGAAATCCTATAGAGACTGCGGGGTTCACGTGCCCGCCACTAACATTCAGGAGTGAGTTGATCACGACAGCTACAACAAATCCAGTACAGATAGCACCTATAAGTGGGTCCGGGGGTGACTGGTCCTCGGGGTCATGTAACGACGATCCTATGGACCACTGAAAAAGAATCAACGTCCCGATGTACTCTGCTATTACAGCCCGCCAAAAGTTAAACGATTTAATATCCTTGATTTCTCGGTCAAAGATTGATTCACGCGAAGTAACCTCTGATGCCTCCATATTTAATCATGAGAAAAAAAATCTCGAAAAGAAAAAAAAAGAAAAAAAATTATTGAAAAAGTAAACCAAAATGTCTTATAATTCAATGTAAAATGAGTTCGTAAAGTTAGTATTGTAAACGTTTGTCACTCTAAGGACAATGTAATATAATCTAATGTTTCACGTCCGGCGTATATAAAGTCTACTACATATCTATATTAATGTCATAAAAATCTATACCACTTACCAATGCCATTTGTTGTGTATAAAAGAAATTGATTTTAGAGAATAAACAGCTACCTTAAAGAACGCTCATAGCGTTGTAGCAAGACTGTTCATCGGCTGTAGTTGTCAAGAAAGCAAGCAACTTCTCCCCTCCCCCGGTCACCGGTTTAAGCCAAACTCAAATTCAAACGTAAAATAGTATTAAATTCAGTTTAACGCAGAATTTGACTTCATTAAATATAAATGATCTATAATCAGATTAAATATGCAAAAAGGACTGTTATTGCTTAAAATTACTGTTGGTTTTATGAGCAGAATTTATTCAGGTTTTAATAACAACTATCTGACACAGCAACATTTCCTTAGGCTTGATAGTGAAAAAGGTTAAAGCTTGTTTAATCCCTATCAAGTTCACTATCCGGAACAACCAGTACTGGTGTCATATTACGAGAAACGGTCATGATACATAGAGGGTTCGAACTCACGGTCCAACAAATGAAAAGACGGGTAAACAAATCCAAAGACGGATAGACAAATGAAAAGACGGCTAAACAAATCCAAAGACGGATATACAAATGAAAAGACGGTTTAACAAAAATGGAAAGTCGGTTAAACAAATGATAAGACGTTTAAAAAGGTTAATAAAACTACGGGTAAACAAACTAAAAGACGTATAAACAAAGCAGTAGGTATATGTTGTAGCAATATAACATTAACGATCAGTGTTGAAGCGTCACATGATATAAAAATCCTTAAGTGCATGATCTGATGATATCTTTTAAAACAATTAGACAAAACATTTTAGCTGGTTATTAGATATGTATCAGTATAGAAACGTATATTTGACAAATAAAAGGTCTAATTGATTTATTTATTGTATAGGTGTAGAGTATAGATCAGATTATAATGTTAAGATGGCGGCTTCCCAGGTTTAAATGACTATGACACACAATTATAAGTTAAGTAAACCTGCAGTCAAACATTGTTGTTTTTATTGAACTCGTAAAAAGCTAACAATTGTCCAAATAAAACCCAAAAGAAGCAACAAAACAATACACGCACGCACACGTGCACGCACCCATGTACACACTTATAAATGAACTCGTAAATACGAACCTCAAGATTTTGATAGCAGGAATATTTTGGCTTATTTGAGTCAATTGAAGTATATATTGCAGAAAAACATCAATATTTTCTTTTGTTATCTAAACAGAATTGTTCTATGATACAGTACTCATTTTAAATTGTAATATCAACTTTTTATTGAGATTTTCGATTAAATGCATATACAAGTAATTTTAAGTATCCAGCAGACTTCTTCAAATTTAAGCATTTATTAGCTTTAATCAATACATGAATGATTTTTTTTGTAAAACAATTGCAATAATAGGGAAAGTTGTTATATTCAAGTTTTTTATATAAACTTTTCATGTATGACAATTTTAAACCTAAATCAGTATTTGATATATTGCACGGCCTACTATATACGTATCTACAGGAAACCGGGTATAGAATTACTGTATAAAATTAATAAATAACAAAAGGTCGACAAAAATAATATATATGAGTGAGTTTTGAGTGTCAGGTGTAAAAGGTTGAAAAAGATATACGATTACATATCATATTATCATAAGGGTTATACAAATAACGTGAACTACTAAAAAAATAGACCTTTTATTTTCACCGCTGTTATATAAGAATTCGACCAAAGTTTTCGGCGTCACAATTCAACCGTGACATATATAGGGTTCAGAAGGCTATTAAGTATGGAGGGCGATCGTTGCCAAAATTCCAGACTTGTAATGTGTTCCTTTTGAAAACTACTTTTGAAAATGCAAACATGTATGTCTAGCATTTTTTATTGCATTCGTGCACAGCAAATGATATGCCTCTTAATCCAATCTTTTAATTGAAGGCACCCGCTTTTAAATAACAAGTTTACATGTAAATCTTAACAACTGACCTAACATGGAGAACAACAACACATTTAACAAGTTCGTATCTACCATTGCATATAATACATAAGCATGTTTACACACTTGTAGATATATATCTGTACCTGAAAAACACAAATGAAATGTAAAACTTGAATGCAGAAAATATAATTTAATAAAACGTGTTCCAGTCGTAGAACTACAACAGTACGTTTACACAGTTACATGTTTAAAATGACAAAAGTAGATTCACAAAGTTTAAACGATTCTAAGTCATGCATGACGCCCCGCCTCTCTCTGAGTATTTACGATCTTCTATCACGGAAATGTACGGACAGGTATAATACCCGTCGCCTCTCTCCTATTTCTCAATAAAGTGAAGGAAAACACGGCGTTCATTCTAACTTTTTTTTTATTTCTATAAAAAGTCCAATATTATTGGTATCAAATGAAAGATTACTCCATAAGCTTTCTATTAGTGCCTCGGAAATAAAAATGAAAATAAATAGATGTATTGAATTTTTAGTTTTTTTTACTCTGAAAATAACACTCTCGAATTGGTAAAAAAAAACACGGCGTTCCCTCCAAACTTTTCTTTAAGTTCGTAATATATTTTGATAATCTTGGATTGAAATAAAAGTGTGCTTCATACGATTTATGATATATAATTATATAATACCTAAAATTAAAAATGAATTAAATCAAATTGAATTAACTTTTCGTTAAAAAGTTTATCATGTTACTTTCTGTAAAATAGAGAAAATAAGAATCCCTAAAGAACGCTCAAAACGACAAAATTGAGAATGTTACATGCCCGGTTTGATTGAGCCTGCTCATGGACGGTAATGGAAAGAGGAAGTTATCGTCCACGCCCCCTAGCACCGGCTTAAGCAAAATTCAACATGAACTGGTACAAATTTTGAAACATCCGCAGATGTGTTAATATGGCGATTATCATGGAACCTTCAATGTGACACGTAAGTGCCATACCATGAAAAACGGCATATGATCCCCAAGTAAAACAAAAAACACACTCTGAAATTCAAAAAGAAAACATGGCGCCCCCTACTTACTTTTTTTTATTTCTTGGTCAATTTTGATAATAAACAAGATCATCAAGGAAAGGCGGCGTTGATAATTTTTAGACTCAAGTAAAAGAATCCTTTATGAACTTTCTAGTGATGCCTTAAAAATGAAAAATTAATTATGTAGAAGTATTAAAAAAAATTGTTTCTAATTTATCGTTGTTTATTCTTTTTCTCTTAAATCCACACTCATATATTCAAAAAAAAAATAACGTCGCTTCCTTTAGATACTTTATTCTAAAAGGAAATTGAATATTGAATGAAATTTAAGACCATTAGCTTTGAACAAGTATATTAAAAAATCTGGAAACAAAGTGATCCCTCGAAGCATTAATCACAACAAAATTACATAAGAATTGCAGATTCGGTTTAATTGAGTCTGCACATGAGGGATAATGAACAAGTGCAACATCCCTCACCCCCTAGCACTGACTTGAACGGTACTCAATTCTCAACACTTAATAGCGCTGGCATCAATGATCCCGAAGGACCAGAAAAACACTGAAGTGAAGTACGGGGCAGCTTTTTACAGCTGCCACACGGCACTTGACACCTGCTGTTATGAAGTACATGTATTAAAATCTGGAAACAAAGTGATCCCTCGGAAGCATTAATCACTACAAAATTACATAAGAATTGCAGACTCGGTTTAATTGAGTCTGTACATGAGGGATAATGAACAAGTGCAAAAAGTTTTGATAAATTCATACTGAAAATACCTTATTAAAGATTGTACATATGTGCTACGGATAAGTATTTTCTTGATTTCGGAAAGGAAATCTCGGTGGCCGCTTTAAAATCCTATTTTTGCAAATACTTGCATAGGTTTTGTTGAAAATGAAATTTGTGCCAATACATTTTTCAATGATACCAATAAGAATATTGGATGGTTTTTACATTATCAATAAAATTACTCCCTTGAAGTTGGTCATTGTTTCCCCTAAAATTTCCAAATCGCCGATGTTTCTCAGGAGTATATGATAAACAAGATCAACAAGGAAAGGCGGCGCTCAATGAACGCAACCCTACATGACCCAGCAACAAGAACAAGTGGCAAGAAGCCCAGGCGGACCCCAAACAAAACACAGGACAGGGCACTAGGCATAGCACGGACAGGCTAATCACTAAAATGATAAATAATTTGTAACTGATAAGAACACGATGTTAAATAATAAGGTAATGCACAAGTTATCTTTCATCATAAATGGTAAAGTCAGCAATTTTCAAGTGATGTTGCTAGTGACAAAAACTTTTGTAACAAATGTAACATATATATGTTATGAAAAATGCCGTATGTTGTCCTTTTGTTTTATTTAAAAATATGGGAGAGGCGCCGTTTTATACCTGTCCGCAATAGAAGTTCGTAAATACTTCCGAGAGGGGCGGGGCGTTATGCTTGACTTAAAATCGTTTAACTTTGTGAATCTACTTTTGTCATTTTTAAACATGTTACTGTGTTAACGTACTCTTGTAGTTCTACAACTGGTAACACGTTTTTCTTAAACTCTATTTTCGGTATTTCGAGTTTTACATTTCATTTTGTATATTACAGATCTATAAGTGTACAAACATGCGTATGTAAATTGGCATCAATGGAAGAATACGAAACTTGTAAATTTGTTGTCGTTTTACGATGTTAGGTCAGTTTTTTTACGATATATATGTAAAACTTGTTATATAAAGGCGGTAACCTCAATTAAAAAGATTGAATTAAGAGGCATACAATAAAAATGGTAGGCATACAAGTTCGCAATTTTCAAAAGTCATTTTAAAAAGG